GAGTCAAGAATTGACCTGCAGAGCTAAAAAGTTAGTGAAGCCTTCCATCCAAGGAGAGAAATCTGAGAGCAAACTGGTGTTTTGAAATTTTAAATGCATCCTTTTAGTTCTTTTCAGCCTCACCTCTGTTAGGTGCTGCTGCAGTGACCAGTTCTGGATAGGCATTAATGAGCTTTTCTCAAGAGTAGTATGAATGCAACTTTGCCTCTCTTACTCCCTGCAGGAGCTACCTGTAGAAACCAGCCCACCATGGACACGTACAATAGAGGCCTAGAGTGACCTTGACCAATGGTTGGAAGAGGAAATGCTATCCTCTTTCTTCTTCTTCTTCACTCCAGTGCAGAAATCTGGACACATTTCATAAAGATTCTCAAAGGAACTGAGGATCGATCAATCAGTTGCCCATTGCAGGGGTCAACTCAATAATGCATTCTTGTAATAGCTTTTCTTCCCTCTGTATTTCGTTTTCCCTGATTCCCTTTCTCTATTCCCAGAATTCATTTTCTCAAATAAATTACCAGCACATAAAGCTTGGGTTTTGGGCTTTCAGGGGAACCCAGGATACCAAAAAGTGGCTCTAGAAAGCAAACCTCTGTGGGATTTGAGAGCCTGAACCCACAACAGAGATTGCAGGACAATAAGGCCCCCTGCTGGTGATTAGTAGTAAAAAGCAAGTGAGATAATCCTTGATGCAAAGTTAGCAACACAATTACCAAAACTCAAATGCAATAAATTGGAATGACGTTAAGATAGGAGATGGCCTATTAGATTATATGGTGGCTGTGGTAGCTGAGCATTGTGGAGAAAATGGTCATTAAAAGATGGGGTGACTTCAGTTAATTGCTTAGAAAATCTTAACACAAGAAAAGGGTATTCAATCGTGGAGCTCTGTGAATGTCAGAAGGCCTCTAGGGCAGGGTAGCATTTGAGCAGACTGTGTTGCAAATCCCTCACAATATATAGTCACTGACTGGCTGCTTATGCAATGGTGGTCTCCTTAGGGCCCATAACAATGCAGGGCCCTGATAGGAAATGATGAGATCTTGAGATCTAGAGTGGGTATATTTGTGTAGACATGGCTTGTAATCTTCATCCTTGAGACTTTTTTGGAATCCTCTATGTCAATAGTGTTTCTTTTGGGAAAAAGCAATCTCCTTTCTTTGTCAGAAATGTGGCAAAGAGTATATCTGAGGTGTTTCCTAATATAGTCTTATTTTCCTCTATGTCTAGCCCCACTACTTCCATTATTTCAAGTCTTTGAACTAGGGTCACACAACCTATAGAAAGAATTTTAATCCCATACTCAAGGGACAACTAAGTCAGGACTTCTCGATATTGGCAGCGTGACATTTGGGCTATTCTCTGTTTTGGTGGGCAGCCCTGTGTAGTGTAAGTTGTTTAGTAGCTTCCTTGGTATCTTCCCACTAAATGGTAATAGAACCTTCCTGGAAATGACAAGCAAAAATGTTTTCAAATATTACCAAATGTTGGGTCAGAATTAACCCCAGTTAATAACCAATGAACTAGAGGCTTCCCTGGTGGCACAGGGGTTAAAAACACACTGCTGTCAAGCTTTTGCCAGCCACTATGGCACGAGTTCAATCCCCAGCCAGGCAGTTAAACCACATGGTGCAGCAGACTTCTCCTGTCTCACCCCTGCTCCCTGCAGCAGTGTATTTCGGTAGATCTGCCTGTTCTTCTCCCCACTCTGTCTCTGGTGAATCCTCTCATCCTTTACACCTCTGACCTACACTCCAGTTCTTATATGAGTAAATAAATAAATCTTTTTATAAAATATTGCCCCATTATTTATAATAAATATACCACTGGACGAAAGGATTTAAAGAGTTGTCAAACATGCCATTAGGAGAGAGGGGAAAGTGAGTGAAAGTGACTTTTTAGAGTATTAATATAGAAGAATCAGATTAAAAGGATAAATAGGGAAGCACTTATCACATAGAGTTATTTACGTGTGATTGTGAGTTGAATATTTGTTGAGGGCATCTCTAGGTAGTCCTAATACACAGCATTCTCATCTTCTGAAAACTTGGTTCTGATGAAGGTTTATGTTAAATGAGATGTTAGAACAATTTTGAACAAGTATTGAGAAAAAAACTCAAAAGATTCAGGGAGCAGGGAGGTTATAATGAATTTATTATGTGAGACTAAAGAACAACATTAGAATATTTTTCCCAGAAGTAAGGATGTTAGTAATGAACTTATTATGAAACTTAAGTACCCATTACTTGGATATGTTGCCCAGACAGCTGTGATGCAAGTTGCCTAATGCTTAGGCCATTTGTTCTAGCAGAAGTAATGGTCCTAGAGGGATCTCTGATGGATAAGAGCACTGGATGAAATTTCTGGAAAGCCCCAAGTAAGAAAGTTACAGCACAAATTTGTAGCATTCTGCAAGTCATGCTTCTGAGCCAGAGAACTTTTCTCTTTTGGGAAAAATAGACCTGTTTTTCATGAGCTGAATATTATCAGACCCACCAAATCATAAATGTATGGGAGCAGCGGCAATCCATTGAAGTATAAAATGGTCTAGGATTGAGTCTGTCCAGAGTAGGTCCTGAAGCCCCAAACTCATGAATGGGTGACTAAGACACTCCTGACATTTCTATAGCAGTGGCAGCTCTTCTTCAACTTGCTTCTATGGCCTCTGGGACTTTCCTGTGACTACCTAACAGAGTAAAAAAAAAAGAAATTGAGCTGGCACACCCATGGGTTGGCATATTATATTGAAGGTTGAGCGAAACTGGATTGCTGCTACACTATATTCTCAACCACTGCTAGCTCTAAAGAACAAAAGGGAAGGGGGGTTTCTAGTAGACAGATTATGGAGCAATATTCTTCATTGTTTGTTTTATATATAGAAAAAAATATTTACAGGGTTTGCAAGGAATGGGCTGAAATGGATACCTTCTGTGTCCTGTGTCCCTCCTGTAATTACTCCAAATCCCCTTGGTCTCACTTCAAACACTGCTTGTTTCATGAGCTGATGACATGAAACATGATACATGACGGGAGCTCCTCTCTCACTTTTTGCCTCTGAACTCCTCTGATGTGAGAGTCAGTCTGACATTCATAATTATGGAGTTTGAAGGTTTGGAGTAGTTAATATCCAGAGAAGCAACCTTTGATCAAAGGTGGACAGGATCTAACATATAGGAACTCTGATAAAGCAGTCAGTTAACACACAGTACTTATACAGGAACTAACAAGTAAAAGCTTCCACCTTTCCAGTTTTCAGTGGATAATTTTGAGGCTTATGTCGGAAAGCTTCTCAAATGGTTGTAAAAGATAGAGAAAACATTCAAACATGGTAACAGCTAATTCAATAACACATCCTTATATGGCCTTTCCACTTCCTTGTTTTACCTATCCTTCCCTTTCTCTTACTTTTCCTTGGTGGGGCCAGTGTGCTAATGAAATTACTGCATGTAAAGTCTTTGTTTTAGTCTCAACGTTTGGGGAAACCCAAGAGGAGAAAGGAGAATTTAATTTTTGGATATGTCAGTTTGTGCTACCTGAAGGATACCCCAGTGGAAATTTTGTAGAGGCAATGGATACAGCCTGAGTTTTGAGACGATGTCCAGGCTTCTGAAATCCAATTCATCTCCCAACTTTGAAGAGGACTATAAACATACAGAGAGAGAGAGAGAGAGAGAGAATCTCAAGGGTTTCTGTAAAGATAGGGTCAGATTTAGATGCTTCTTTTAAAAGGGAAGTCACTGGATGAAATTGAAAAGCATCCCAAGCAGTGTTGACTAGAGCATATTTCTCTCAATAGCAAACAGTTCCATACTATTTCTGCTAATTTTCTCACCATATTATATCTTCAGATAAACACTGAAAGATAATTTGCACAGTTCATATCTCTTTCTCAGTGATATTTTTGACAGAATGTTACTTCCTCTTCTGTATTCTCATGGTATTTAGCTTTTTTAAAAGTTGAGTTTGCCTCGCTAGATTGTAATTTATTCATCTAATTAACACCGTGTCCCCAAAGGGAGTGACCTCCCTTCTAAGTGGAATTCCAGCCTTTGAATCTCCAACAGTTAATACAGTGCTTGGCACAAAAGCGGCACTGTTTGGTTGTAAAATAAATTAATGCATGCATGAAACGATCCCTGTAGAACCTTGGAAAGCAGAACCCTTGCAAAGGACTGTGTCAAACAAAGAAAAGCATTCCTTTCAATTTTCAACCCTTATCTGACCTGTAACTCTCTCTGGTCATTCATTTTGTATGTGTTATGTATAAATGTATCTACATGGTGTTTAACCCGACCCTACTAAAGAACTTGGTCAGGGTTGGATTCAGGTCAAATCACCTCTGGCTCTGGATCAAAGTGCCTTGCATAAAATAGGCGCCAGAAATATGGAATAAATGAATCACTTGCCTTGCAACCAGCAACATTCGCATCATCTGTGCTTTTGGAATAAATGTGCACAGACATCATCTTACTAAGATTCAGACTCCAATTCAACGTATCTGAAAAAAAGTTCTGGAGGTTACATTTTAGCAAAACCCTCAGATGATGCCTAAGCAGCTGGTTCAGACTTTGAGTATCAAGGTCACTATAGGTTCTCAACCTGAGCTACATACTAGAATCATCTCAGAACACATAAAAAAACTTTGATGTCTGGGTCCCTCGCTCAGAAACTTTTAACTCATTTACGCTCTCCATGATATAAATAGCAAGGATCTAGAATCAGCAAAACAACTGTGAAAAATCTCAACGAATAATTCTTCTGGAAACTGCGCGTCTGTCACACCAAATCTCCAAGTCTCCTATTAGACTCCACTGGAAAGGAACCCCCGCTTGTCAATTCCACACCCCTGCAGCCCTGCGAGGACCCATTAGGTGTTGCTCCGCCCCCTCCGCGCCTATTGGCTGTTGCCTTTTTCCCACCGCCTCTCCGCCCTTCTTTGCGCGGTCACTTCCGGCATAGAGGTTTGTCATATGACCGGATATGGGAAGTGGTGGCGGAACGCTCGCTTCCCGTTTACCGTTCAATTAAAGGGGCACAGCCTAGTAGTGGTGGCCGTCCCAGCGCCATCCGTTCTCCGTCTTAAAGAGGACCCGCCTCGGCACAGCCGGGCTCGGTCCGGCCTTGCGGTAAGCAGTGGGCCACGGCTGCCCAGTAGTCTTGGTGGCGGCGGACAGGTGGGCGTCAGAGTCCGACGTGATCCCTCAACGCCTCTGCTGCCCTGCGCCCGGGGTTGGGTGTCTCCCTGTCCGCCGCCTGGCCCCTTTTCCTTCCCCGCTAGGGCACCGATCACGGTGGGAGCATCCCCCATGCCCTTGCTGCCCTGGGACTGGAGGCAATCCTCACGCATCCCTTTTCGGTTCCGCCTTGGGAACCAGATTTCATTTGTGCAAAACGGCGCTAAGTCGTTTTTTCTTTGATGTGGACCGAGAGGAAGATGTGACAGTGTTTTGCCCTTTATTCTCCAAGTCTCCATGTTCTTCTTAATCTCTGAAGCCCGTCCCTGTTTGTCTAGCCCAGTCGTCTTTTCTGAGGACAATGCTCCGCGCGCTAGGATGTCTCGAGATAAATAGGGGGCTCAACCCACAGACCACTGGCATTGTCAGCAGTGTTAATGGACCAGCTGAATGAATTTAAGGAAATAATAACCAACACAGTGAACACTGGCTGACAGTCTCAGGAACTTGGTCAGAAATGGCTTCATTGATCTAGAAAAATAGTTTTAAAGGACCTCCATGACTTGTTCACTGGCTTACAGAGAAGCACTGAAAAGACTGGAGAATTAATGCCGTCTTAGAATGTAAATGCACTTTGTCTTTATGAAGATAGTCTATCATTCAGCTTAGTAACCTAGAACAGTACTGCACACTTCGTAGGCATCAATATTTGCTGAGTGAATGAGAATCAGTGCTTTTCATTATGCCTTACACCTTTATGAGGTATGCCCAGGCCTCTTTTTTGTTAACCACATAACATACACTGCTGTTGCATTTGACTACTTACTGTATGGTAAAACTTGGCCATTATTTGACCTTTTGATCCACTTTACTTTTCAGCTCAGGTTACCTCAGGAGATTGTGTTGAGTACCTACTAATACTAAGAACACAAAACAGCATTTCTCTCTCTGTCTCTGTGTTTCATGTCCTGTCTCTCTCCTCCCCTACCCCCACTCCCAAGGGAGTTCTTGAGATCCAGGAACTTGTGCTCAGGCATGAAGTGCTTGACTTTTAGTAAACGCAGTAAGTGCTATATAGCAACTGAGAGAAGACATCAATTTTGATTAAGGTTTTTATTGACTCCATACAAACCATGAAGTATAATTAGTGTGAATGGGGAGGGGGTGATAATCCCTAAATGGAAAAGTATCTAAGCAAAGATTTAAAGCCCCCCACTACCAAAAAAAATTAATAATCAGACTAGAAGGTTTGTGATTGGAAACGTTTGAAAATGAAGAGTGTTTTGTGATGAAACTATTTTATTATTTGTAAAGGGATTTGAATGTGAAGGCTTGCAAAGAGATAACAAGATACCTTAGTGTTAGATGTAGCTGTGAACCTGGGTTAGTGCTTTGGTATGGGAAAATAGAAAGACAGGATAAACTATGTGTAGATGAGAAATCAGCAGAATGTGGTAGTAGATCTCCTATGTACAAAGAGGATAGAGCTTTTGAAAATGGGTGTTGCTTATAGATATGAGAGTTGGAAAGGGGGACCCTTAGGGAGCTAGTTGTGTTATTTGGTGCTATCATTTTCGTTAATTTATTAAATGTTTGTTGTGTCTTTACCAAGTAATATAAAGATGAATTAGACATGGCCCTTGCCTAAAAAGAACTACTTTTAAAAGGGGGGGGGGTTAAGTGGGGATACAACTAACTAGAAAGATATGACCTATAAGTGTCATGTTAGCAAAGTAGAAGGAACATATTGGAAAAGTAGAAAAGGATTTTTTTTTTTTTTGTACTTCTGTAACTACTTCAAAGAAGAGGTAAGATCTTGGCAGGATCTAGAGAAACAAGTTGGAATTTCCCAGGGAGAAAAGAATTCCAGGAAATAGAAATTGCATGAACAAAAGCCCAGAGATACAAAGTAAACTGGCCAGTATCCAGTCTTGCTTGAGCATAGAATGGAACAGAATTTATTTCTTTTTTAAAAGATTATATTTATTTATGCATATAGAAATGGGGTACAGGCCAGAGAGTTGGGCGGCGGGGGGGTGAGGGGGGAAGTTGAGAGGATTCACCAGAGATAGAGTAGGGAGCAGAACAGGCAGATCAACAAATTACACTGATGAGGAGAGCAGCGAGCAAAACAGAAGAGGTCTGCTGAGCCATGTGGATCACCTCTGGAGCAGGGACCGAATTCTCACTGAAGCGGCCATGGCTTGGCTTAGCTTCACAGCAAAGTGTTCCAACCTGCTGCGCCAGCAGGGAAGGCCCTGGAGTAGAGTAACACAGTCCCAAAACCCTAGAGCATATTAAGGGTTCAGTACCATGAGCATACTGTGTTGGGTAGATAGAAGTTCAGATGAATGGAGAGTAGAGAGAAAAAAATAGTATTTGGGGAGAATTGTACTTGGGTCTATGATCTCTGCAGGGTAGAAGGTGGTCATTTGAATAGGGGATGGAAACTGGCTCTACATTTGGGTGCTGAAAGAGAAATAAGGGCTTACAGCAACACTGATGGGGAAAAGGGAAAGGAATCATTAAAGAAATTATTAAAGAAACTTTTGATCAACATAAAAGTTTGGATTTAGTATTTGTAATGAAGCAGTGAACATGGACATGGGACCTTTTTAAGTGGCATACGATAGGTTGCCCAAGAGAAGTGAAGAGAAAAATACTTTATAGAGATTGAAAACTGGTGAACTAGTCCTATTAGCTATAAACAAGGTCATTTTAAAAATCCTAAGTTGAACAATATGATAGCATCATTCTGAGAAAGCACCTCTCATCTGTATTTCTGAATTTTTTCCAGCAGACTAAAAATGACAGCCATCAAGCATGCACTACAAAGAGACATTTTTACACCCAATGATGAGCGCTTGCTGAGTATTGTCAATGTCTGCAAAGCAGGAAAAAAGAAAAAAAACTGTTTTTTGTGTGCCACAGGTGGGTATCTAGTAAGAAAAAGTTCTTGCTTGACATCTTTTTATTCCCTTTGAGGACTTTGTGTTCCTTATGTGGACATGTTTTCAACTCCTTTGGGTAAATAGATACCAAGGGGCATAATTGCTGGATCATATAATAAGAGTAGGTTTCCTTTTCTAAGAAACTGCTAAACTATCTTCCAAATGACTGTGTGCCATTTTGCATTCCCATCAGCAGCAGTGTTCCTGCTGTTCATATCTTTATCTGCATTTGGGATGTCACTGTTCTAGAACTTCCCCATACTCATAGGTTCTTGTTTTATTTTGCTTTTCCTTGATAGCATGTGATAGTGAGAGTAGTATATTTTCATATGCTTTTTTGCCATCTGTATGTCTTTTAGTGATACATCTACTATGGCCTTTGGCTCATTTTTAAATCCAGTTTCTTGTTATTGTTGAGTTTTCAGACTTTTTCTGTCTATTTTGGATATAACTCTTTATCAGCTGTATCTTTGGAAAATATTTTCTCTTCCTCTGTGGGTTGTCTTGTAATTCCCTTGACACTGTCTTTCTCAAAGCAGAATGTTTAAATTTTAATGAATGTTAATATACTTCTACAATTATTTGTTGTTAGAATCTAGACATATAGTTGGTTTTTATATCAGTTTCTTTGTCATCCTTACCGAGCCTATTTCAGTTATCTGTAGTGATAACTGAAAGTAGTGATATTTTTTTCCTTTATAGTCTTGATGTTGTTCTTTTATAAAGATTGATGTATTTATGCATACAAGAACTGGGGTACAGGCCAGAGGTGCGGGAAGTGAGAGGATTCACCAGAGACAGGGGGAGCAGAACAGGCAGATCTACTGAAGTACACTGCTGAGGGGAGCAGCGGGTGGGTCAGGAGCGGTCTCCCATGCCAAGTGGGTCACCTCCCTGGCCTGAGATCAAACTTGTGCTGCAGTGGCTGTGAATAGCTTCATAGTGCTGTGTATTAACCCATGGCACCACCAGGGAGGGCCCGTTTTCCGTTTTTTATTTATTTTTTTTACTTTAGCCTACTGGTTAGGGCCATTAATAGTTGTGGGTCTCACAGGAATGGCTTTTTTGCATGGTATTTGCTCTAGGGTTTTTTGTAGCTATCCTTTACAATACTAAGGAAGTTCCCTTCTATTCCTACCATCCCACACCTTTCTTATCAAGAGTGAATGCTTTTCCAATCCTTAGGTTTATCATATACTTTTATCTCTTAATTCATTAGTGTGTTGAATAATTATACTTGGTTTGTTGAATTCAAATTAATTTCCTGGAATAACCTAACTCAGTCCTGATATAACTCATGCCATCAGTTACAGCACACATTATTTTATGTACCACTACAACTGTGCTGTGGTATTGCATCAGTTGATCACGTCTCCTGATTCTAGGGGCTTTTAAGTGTGAGAAGAAATGTACATCTTGGAATTGAAGAATTGAAATATTGTCTTTATTTCACTTATAATCTGTGTTGAACTACTTGTTTTTTGTTTTTTTTTTTTTTTAAATGGTGTTATGTTCTTAAAAACCTCTCTGGCTATCCATTTCTCATTCATCTTTTAGACCTATCCTACTATTCCTTTAAAACTGCTCTGAGGCTCTCCCTGGTGGCTCAGTACGCTAAAGCACAGAACTAAGAAGCTAAAGCCACTTCAGCATGAGTTAGATCCCCACCCCAGAGGTGACCCACATGGTGCGGCAGGCCTCTCCTGACCCGCCCGCTGCTCCCCTCAGCAATGTACTTCGTCAGTCTGCCTGTTCTGCTCCCCACTCTGTCTCTGGTGAATCCTCTCACCCACCACACCTCTGGCCTATACCTCTGTTCTGTAAGAATAAATAAATAAATCTTTAAAAAAAAAAAAACTGCTCTGAAACTTTTACTTTTCAAGGAATCTGCCCATGACCCTCTAGTATGATTGAAGTGCTCCCATCAGTTTATTGTACATGCCACAATTATAGTGTGTGTCATAAAATACAGTTCCTGTTTTGATATCACAGAAAGTTACCTACCAGCTATTTTTGCAATGCGTGAAAGAATGAAGAATGACTGAATAATATTTCTAATGAAAGTGTATGTTTTACTTCACAGTGACTACTGAACGCCCTGTGCAGGTGAAGGTGGTTAAAGTCAAAAAATCTGATAAAGGAGATTTCTACAAAAGGCAGATTGCATGGGCCCTTCGAGATCTTGCTGTGGTAGATGCTAAGGATGCGGTTAAAGTATGTTTTTCATAGTTATTTGACCTGTGATCAGAAAGTGTCATTTATTTTATAACCTAGTATTATGTCTTCTAGGATGGTCTAAACTTGTTTTGTGATCCACTGGTCCACCAGCTAACCAAAAATTAGTTTAAAGTGTTTTATTCAATCTTTCATTTTCTCATTCACCACTCTCAGACTACTAAAATTAGTGTATATGTATATGTATTTGATTTATTGGTTTTGCTTTTTATGGACTACAATTATGTTTGTGTATAAACCACAAAACTAGAGCAAAAAACAATATACGTGTATACGCACACACACACACACACACACACATATAATCCATAAATTTAGTGTGAACTTTAAAGTGGATTGTTAGGTGCGTGGGTTTTTTAGAAAATCGTTGGTAAAACCTAGTTGAAAATCTCATTTACACTATCACCAAAATGAATCTTACTTAGTTCTCACAGATTAACGTAGAAGCACCAGCTGAGGCAGCCAGGCTGACCTTTTGATGGCTCAGGTAAAGGAAGTGGTAGATTACCCACCTTCATTTAAAAAATATAAACAATAAGAGCTAAGAATATAAATCTTATACCTTTCACTTAATCTATACTCAAACATCAAAAAAGTTGGATATGGTAATCATGTTAATGGACTACCTTTATTCCTGGTAATTTAAGGCTTTTCACAGTAATACCCTGTTTTCAGAGGTAGCAGGTAGCACTCGTCTAGTTAAATTAGATGCCTACTCCTTTTCTTCCTCTTGGCCCTGCTCTTCGTCTTCCTCTACAGCCCAGGACACCTCCAGAGTTCTAGGAAATGTGCCACATACTCCCACTTGCACTATTGGTGGGACTAGTAGCAAGACTTACACTTATGTAGTGATAGTATACTTTTATGGAGCAATCTTACTCTGTTGCAAACCTCAAAGAAACTAAAAGCTGAAGAAAATGACAGGTATTTAAGTCAGATGTCATTTTTTAAATGAAGGAAAAAAAGCTTGAAGAGAACCTTGCATATCTGTAGAATTCAGATTTCTTCCAGGTATAGAGGCATCTTTCAGTATTTTATACAAACCGGTTTTGCTTTATCCCTAAGGAAATCCGGAAAGTGGAACAGAATTTGACAGGTGCTTTAAGTGTGTGTGTTATTTGGAAGGAATATGGGATTTTTAAAAAACACTTATTAAATTAATAATTTCTATTACCAAAAAGAAAAGGTCAAGAGTTGAGATCTTTTTGGTAGGTATATGTTTAAGAAGAACACATAAGGACTTTTTAGAAATACATCTTCATTAAAAAGCCTTTTCCCCTTCAATAGTTTTGTACTTCATAATTCCATTGACTTGTATAACTCACTAAGTGTTACTGAATGCTTATTTGAATGATTTCTCACAGCTGACTTTGTCTTGTTGCTGACTTGCTTAATGGGCTTTGTTTTGTTGTTGTAGTTTTTTTCATTTTAGGTAGGCACCTTCGGGCGAGTACACTATATATGGATAGAAAACATAAAATTTTTATAAGTAACCTAACATTAGCCATTTAGTATCACACATTGATTTGTGTGAGTGTTGCCACTAGAGCACTCAACTTCTTTTATGGCATTATGGGAAATATTCCCAGGGAAGAGATCATTTCCCATCAAGATTCTTATTAGTTGCCAATACTTAGGTTTTTTTTCTAAGTAATAATGCAATTACCTTTTCACTGTAAATGAGCCTTTTCTATCTTTTGACACATCAGTTCTGCCTATTGAGCTGTAAATTAAACTAGTTGGTAGTTCCAGCTTCTGTGACACCGTACTGTATCACTGTAGAGTACGTACTGTACTTGATCAGGTCAAGTCCTGATTACTATATTACCCCTGCCCTTCATACTAAAAGTCTGATATAACATCCTTCTTCTTTGAAGTCTGTATTTATCAATACATTTTGTTGTCCCAGATGCCACTTTAATCTAATATATTATTTTCTATTTATTATTATGCATATGTGTTATATATTGTATGTATGTGTCTATAACATATATTACATATAATAACAATTGTATTATTCACGTTAAGAACATTTGATCCTCAAAAAAAGGTAAACTCATGCCATTGTGGCAACATGATGGAGCTTGAAAGGATAATGTTAAGCAAAATAAGTCAGAAGGAGAAAAATAAAATACTGGTTGGTATCACTACTATATAGAATATAAGTAACTAAATTAGTAGTCGGATAAAGACAAGCTGAAACACTAACCCTTGGTAAGTGACTATAGGACTGAGAGACACCAAAGGGAGGGTCAGGGAAAGGGAAAGAACAAGGTTGCAGCAGGTGTAATGGTTGTGCTGGTAGAGTATGGCTGAGTTGGCAGTGGGTTCAGTGAGGTCCAATACCTCTTCAGTTGAAAATAAATTAATTAATTTTTAAAAATGCTTGATTGATTTTTTTCTTCAGTTGTGATAGAAAATATCCATTCATACGTTTTTATCCTTTATGTAATAATCAAGTCATTCTACTCAAGGGAGAACTACTAGACTAGCATGAAATTACTGCTATGATGCCACTTAAGAAGCATGTGGAGAGGATAGTGCAGTTCTTTTACAACAGTTGAGCTTTTTTCACTTGCAAAAACTTTCAAGGGGGCCCTCCCTGGTGGTGCAGTGCATTAAAGCACAGCACTAAGAAGGTAAAGCCACTTCAGCATGAGTTTGATCCCTGCCCACCCCAGAGGTGACCCACATGGCACAACAGACCTCTCCTCACCTGCCCGCTGCTCCCCTCAGCAGTGTACCTCATCAGTCGGCATCTTCTGCATCCCATTCTGTCTCTGGTGAATCCTCTCACTGCCCCTGTACCTCTGGCCTGTAGCCCAGATCTATATGCATAAGTAAATAAATCTTAAAAAAAAAAACTTTGAAGGACCTCAGTATTATTTTTGCTTTCATAATACCCTTAATCATTCTGAACTTCCAGAATTAAAACCAGAAGCAGTTCCTGCTTTCACATCACTTGTTCTTAGAAACCATCCCAGGGTATAGATTGTATCTTTTTCTCATATGTTATAGTTAGAAGACAAACTCTTTTACTAAGGCGTTATTGTCAACTTACAGTTATGAATAATAGTACATTGTTAAAGAAGAGGTATAGCTTTTACCACACAGGCAATTTAAAAAGAAAAATTATGTCCACATTTAATACTGGCGACCGCTGTCATCTTAGAGAGTAGGAGCTGATACACAAAGCCATTAAATAGGTAGCCTGTGCTTCCTCTCATAGAGTTAAGGGGCATGGAAAGGAAATTACTAAATACTGTGGGTTTCTTGAAACCTAGCTTCTTTTGTTAGGCAATCGAAGTTTTTACTGTATGTTGAATTCTTTAACACTTCTCTGCAAGTAGAGACCTTTAATAGTGATGATCTTTTCCCCTAAGTTTCAGCTTCTCTTCATTTTATTAAAATACAGTTTTCAGAGGAATAAAAAGAATATGAGGAAAAGCAATATCTTTTGTACATTTTTATTTCAGGAAAATCCAGAATTTGATTTACATTTTGAAAAAATATATAAATGGGTTGCCAGCAGCACTGCTGAAAAGAATACATTTATTTCATGCATTTGGAAATTAAATCAGCGATATCTCCGGAAGAAAATTGATTTTGTCAATGTTAGCTCACAGCTATTAGAAGGTAAAGCTATGCATATGTATATAAATGTATACAGATGTATATAAATGTATATGAAATGTTTCTGTAAGTGAATTTATAATTTGATATTATTTAAAGTAATATGAATTATTTTTGTAAAGAAATTTAAAATACATTTTTATTGCAGAAGTGATGCTTGTTCATTATTGAAAATTAATATATTAAGTAAATAAAAATCACCCGTAGACTTAATCCTTAAATGTAGCTAGTATTAACATTTTGTTGGATCTTCTAGTCTCTTATCTATGTGTATTTAGGCTTTATATAAAGAAATTTACATTCTTTGGACTCATAGTTCCTATCACATAGCATGAACATTTTCCATGTTATCAAATACCTATTCTACCTTTACTCTTAATGGTTCCATAGTATTCCATTGTATGATACACCATAATTCATCATTTTTACTTTTCCAGGCTTTGCTTATTTTAAACAACACTGAAATGAGTATCCTTGTAGCTATATTTTGTGCAGAGTGTGGGCGTAAAGGTTAAGAACACAACTGGAGTCAGACAATCAAACCTTGATTGTCCCATACTAACTATGTGGCTTTGAGTAACTATGTTTCTCAGAAATAGAATCTATCCCTTAAGGTTGCTTTGAGGATTAAATTAATGTGATGAGAGCAATGCTAGGGATATAGTAAGTACTCTTTAAATGTCAGCTATTATTATCAGGGTAAAAATCCTTTGACATGAGGTTATTTAGGATATTTTGATATGTATTATGAATGTTACGAAACATTTTGTTATGAGATAAAAACATTAATGCAAATTATTGAAAATGTTACTGAGGTTTTAATTTTTTTAAATGTCTTCCATAAACATTGTAAGAAAATGATTCTGTATGCCTTGTGGATATTTGTGTTATACTTCTTGTCTCAGAGAAAGCAATTAAATTATAGTGTGCAGGTGAGCAGGGTTAAAATTTAGTTTATTCCTGAGAAATAACTATTGCTCCTTATTATTGACAGAAAAAAGAAACAGATTTGTTCTAAGTTCTGTTTTTGTATTTTAAAATATGCTGCCAAGTTGAAACATCTGCAGTTGCTGGTATTCAACCATTTTAGCCTGTGAGAATAACAGTTTCAGAAACTTCAAATGCTCGTTTACTTAGTCATTGACTCTGTCCTCTCAATTTTGTTTTACTTGTTCCTTTTCTCTTTGGCCACGGGCCCTTTTCTCTCTCTGTCCTTTTCCAATACTTACTGTCTGGGGAGCCCATTCTTGTACTCAGGCTTTGAGCTTGGAACAGGCAGAGACAAGTCACATCTGTCAGTCCCTGTGCTCCTTCCATCAGTGGGAGTGGCTTTGCGTGTCAGCCCCATCTCAGCATCATTGGACCCTAAAATCTTGGCTAGTGAGTGTGTTAAAGGAATGGCCTTTAATAAAATTACAGTTGTTTTTCGTGCCTTACTTGGTGCTTTACTTTGCTTTGAGTAGTTTATATATTTTTACCATCTCAAGGTTGAATATTTTTGACAAGTGAATGATTCAAAAATTTGCTGTTTAGTTTTTCAAATATTATTTTCAGCTCCTCCTTATTGCAAGCAGTGTGATCTGAGATCACTTTCTATAAGTCAATAACTTGCTTAGATTCAGTAGAGTTCAGAAAACAGCTTTATTTACATTTACAAACTTGTTTTAATGAATTATGAAATTATGGCCATTAAGACCTATTTAAAAAAATAATAAATGTCTCTAAGCTTTGGGTGATGTTAGAAAACAAATGAGAAATTACCACCGCCTTTTAAGAGATCCAAGTGAAGCTATTGGTAGAGAATGTTAACAGTAACAACCTCAGTGTTTTATTGGTGACAGTTGAAAGTGTTATTCACATAATTTGGGGATTTCCTATAGAACAAAGCTTTTAAAAAGAAACCTTGTTAGCAACTGAAAGAGTGAAGTTTTTGTTTAGCCTTTCATTTTTACTTTTACAACTGAATATTTAAAAAGTCTCTATCTTGAGTCCTTAAATGACAGCTTGAACTGATACTTTGTGTGTTTGTTTTAATCACCTCAATCTTGTTCTTTCTAACAGTGTGCCATAACTAACCCACTGTGAAGGAATGTCTGGGTAAAGGTTTGGGGACTTAAATGAAAATGTCTAGATTAAATGCATGAGTCACAACTCACCTAAAAGTAATCTCAAGGGAGTCATCTGTTTCTCAGTTTTCTCCTCCAAAGACTAGTCAATACTGATTCTTGAAAAACTATGAGAAAATAGAAAGATGACTCTACTTTTAGTAACTGTCAGGAAAATGAATTTTTAAAAATGAACTCTGGAAATTTAACCTATGTGAAACTTTCCACTTTGTACTTGATTTTGACATTGTCTTTTAGACCTTAATTTAACATGAAGCTCAAATGAAATATGGGTAGTATTTTAAAATTATAAGCCTGTATACTTTTCTACCCAGCTAATATTCTTTGCTTACTTTCCTCTGCTTTTTTCATACCTTTTTACTCTCCAGAACTGCCTAAAGTTACTGAAGGTGCGTAACACCTTTTCTTCTTACTCTATTCCATATATTTTTATTACTTGCCATTGTTATGTACTGTCGGTTGCATTATTTTATGAATTGTGTACAGGGATAAGTTTATGGCTACAAAATCCATATAGTAATAAAGTTAATTCATTATTGACTTCCAAAGGATTGTGTTGTGGGCCAGAAAATACTTCAGAAGCAGTTATGTTTGTTTAAAATATTTGTTTATTTGCCCCTTAGAAACTAATGTGTCACAAATGACAGTTTAACATTTCCACACTGAACTAAAATGCATTTTCTCAGGGGACTAGGAGTTAGGTGATGATGCTTCTGGAGATAATTTATATTTGTACACTGTATCTGTAATTGCCTGTATCAAAGGTTTTAGTCCCCTTCTTTTTTTTTTTTTCCTACTGAGATGTTATCTACATCTGCCTAATTTCCTTTTTTATTATTTTATTATTATTATTATTTTATTATTAATTATTCTTAAGAATAGGCCCTGTTATTTGTTTGTGTGCTAAATGTATTCTCTCAAAGAATTGAACTGAAACTTTTACAAAACTAAAAGTACCTTAGATTGGCCTCTTGGTGTTTCATCATGCAGTATTAAATTTTTTTACTTCAAACAACCCTAGTGACTATTTCTCTTACTATATAGAATTATTGAGAAAATATCAATAGCTGATCTGTAGAAATTTTAATCAATGCATGTGAAAATTCTCTAAACAAAGTGGAAATTTTTAGTTAATATTTTTTCAATGCTGAAAATAATTGTGAACTTTAGATGCATTTTTCATCTTAATTTATTTTCAAAAAATAGTAAAGATGGACAAAACTAACTGAAAAAGGTTACACAGTAGAAACAGGACTGCAGATTATTTTCTTGTTTTGAATTTATGATCTGTTTTTGTTAGAACAAAAATCACCTCAGGTAGGAAAAAATGTTAGGTTTGTCTCCATGTGTTTTGTTTTTGTTTTTGTATTTTAGTTTATATTTGGGGAAGTTGTAACTAATGCCTCTTTTAACACTAGTCAGTGACTTAGACTGCATGCTTATAGTTTGTTATGATAATAAACATATTAACATAGACAGTTTATTATAAAAATAAGGATTTTATTTTTCATATCTTTCGAATGATTCTTTCCTATTTTTCAGCCACTAAATTTGACCTGTGCTTATAACTGACCTATAAGTACCATGTTTATAGTTTCTCCTGCTTTCTTACTTCTTTAATTTTTACCCTTAAGAATCTGTTCCGAGTGGAGAAAATCAAAGTGTGACGGGAGGTGATGAAGAAGCCGTAGATGAATACCAAGAACTAAATGCAAGAGAAGAGCAGGATATTGAAATAATGATGGAAGGCTGTGAATGTGCAATCTCTAATGCTGAGGCCTTTGCAGAAAAGTTGTCCAGGGAGCTGCAGGTGCTAGATGGGGTAAGCCTCTCTGTGACCTATGAATGAGGGATGCACAGTGGATCAGGAAGACTGGTGGTGTTCCTATTTGATGGACTCAGCACTTAGGGTTTTTTTGAGCGCTTATTGCAGCATTGCCATGAGTTTTTCACTGTAGTTGTTCTAAAGACAGCCATTCCTATTAGGTCAGTGTGGGCAGTTGACTGAGGTTCTCAGTTTGCAAAATTCTTGGTAAGTCATAGGAGGAAAAAGCAGCCAACCAGTAATCAACTTAGGGTGTTGGTTTCTCCCAACCTCTAAAGTACCTGAGAATGTAAAAGAATAGAATTTTTGTGGCTTATAAAAAATAGGTACAAGTTATAAAAAGACAGATAGGGCTGAAATAAGTGAATCACTTGCCCAAAGGAAACAGAATAAATGTGAAAATGGGAGAAACTAAACCACTTAAATGTTTTGGGATTGATCCTTAAAATTGTAGTGTAGGCACAGATAATTTGGTGAATGGAAACCAGCAGGGATTACAGCTGAGATGGAAAAATGCACAAAATGATGTAAAAATAAACTATTATATTATTAAAAATAAATACATAAAGTAAATTTAAAAAATTGTAGTGTAGGTTTGTAAATGTCATCTTCAGAAAGCAAAAACTAAAGGTAGTACCAGTTAGTTGAGAATCATCTAAAACAAGAACATTGAGAGGTTTGTTTATCAAAGCAAGGTAAACACCAAAGGAAAATCTTCAGAGAGGATATTTAAAGATTTAAGGAATTTTGGCATTTTATACATGAAATGCGGAAGAATTGTGAAGTTGAACTCAAGCCCAGTGATTACATGAATAGTCCAAGTTTATAAGTTTCACTCATTGGAAGTGAAGCTTAGAAAAAACTTCAAGATATGAAGGTGAAAATTGAACTTAAACAGCTTCAAGTGTCAGTTTTGCTATGTAATATTCAGTGGTTCTGAGCCCTGCTGTGCACTCTCAGTTTGGTGTCACTTACAGTGGAGTTACTAAGAATTGTGTCTGAAAGAACACACAAAACTGAAGCTAAGTTGTACAATGATATTTTTGTAATTCCTTGTACATAGTTTTTTCTCATACTAGGTTATCTGACTTTTTAATGTAGGTTAACGGTTTATATTTTCTAATTATCATATTGTTTGGCAGTTTAATTTTCGATTTGTCAGCTTCCATATTTCAGGGAAATGAGAATCGATAGAATCATTTCGAAAACAGTGATAAAGGGATGGTGGCTTTCTACTGCTTTTCCTGGGGAAAATATACTTGTAAATGAAAGAGAAAAAAAAATGCTGGAACCAGCTGTCCGGTGGCCACATGCTCTTCTGTTAGATAAACCATAGTACAGTCACAAACTAGTTCCACGTAATCTTAAAAACATGGGATGCCACTGCTGCCCTCTTGGTTAAGATAGTACATAGATGATTATTCTTTTCTTAAGGATTTTACATAAATGTTTTTAAGAAGTGTGGAAAATTCTATCGCTGGTACAGCTGAAAGAAATATAGAAATATTAGCAGTAACATAGTCTAAATTCCCCCTATGTTATAGAACTTAGAGTATAGAATTCTTGCTGATACCTTTTGTGGGTATCAGCTTGTATATGGTTCCCAACCATGATAGAGGCAAAGTGTTATCTTCTTGAAATATTATGTAAAAAGCAGAACATAACATACTGTAATAATATTAAATAGATATGTCAGTGTGTCTCAATCTTTGTTACTCTGCTGTTAGAGACTTAGTACTATTTCATCTTTATGCTTCTTTTAAACATTAAAATATAAGGTAATACTTTTGTTTTTTACTTCTTAGGCCAACATCCAGTCTATCATGGCCTCTGAAAAGCAAGTGAACATCCTGATGAAGTTGCTGGATGAGGCTTTAAAAGAGGTGGATCAAATTGAATCGAAACTTAGCAGTTACGAGGAAATGCTCCAAAGTGTCAAGGAACAAATGGATCAGATCTCTGAAAGCAACCACCTCATTCACCTTAGCAACACTAATAACGTAAAACTCCTGTCTGAGATAGAGTTCCTTGTAGTAAGTCTGATTATGAATTATCAATAACATAGAAACCATTTGTAAACATTTTTTTTTAAGATTTATTTATTTGTGCATACAGAACTGGGGTACAGGCCAGAGACTCAGGGGTGGCGAAAGACTTCACCAGAGACAGAGTGGGGTGCAGAACAGGCAG